TCTTTTAAAAAAATAAATAAATAAATAAAGCACCTGGACTAGTCCCTGGCACACAATGATTGCTCAACAAATGTCACATAACTTCTGTTCATCATCTTCACACTCTGAAAAGCCCAGCACAGTGACTCGCATACACTGAGTGCTCAATAAATATCATGGTTGGGCTGAAGTAAATTGCTGAATCACTACCTCATCTGTTTGGCTTCATCATACATTAGATTCAACGAGGACATTATTAATTATTCTGACTTCACATGCTATGATATCTACAAAGTGATTACTCTTTCAGTCTGTTTTTTAAGAAAATAAGATGGACTCTAATATTTACATTTATTTTTCTAGATCTATCACATGTGTAAGAACCCACATTAGCATTTTCTAGGTTATCGGTATGAAGAAGTATTCTAAAATGATACAGTAGAATCCATTCAAAATTTTAAAGATACGATTTCACTCTACAGAAAAAATTTTGCCCATTTCTTTGCCTCTATGTGGCTACTCTTATCCCCTCCATCAAAGCCCCATTCCCAGGCAGTCTGGCCCCTCTCACACTTCCCTACCAGTATGACACTAACTGGAGAGCAACCTAGTTTTAAACCTCTTTCATTTCCTCTGCATCTCCCTGTATTTCAAGACTTCAGGACTTTCTATCTGCCCATTGATCTGATAAACCAATCCAAGTTAAAAAATGAACATATGCTAATGGTTTGTGAGATTAATGATAGCTCTTTCCCAGTTGATACCATTGCATTTTATTAGGGATCAACTTGATAGAATTTCTTTATTCAAATGAACGGCTGTAATAGTGAAAATTTCAGAGCCAATGCTGGCCAATAGATAAAGCTTTGAACCTGGGAATGTTTTGTCCATCTTCAAATCACTTGATAGACTGCTGCCTATGATGCACTTGCCCTTGACCACAAAAACATTTTCTTCACTTCAGCTGCCTGTTAAGGCTTGTCTTCTTCCACATGTCCCCCACTTCTCCTGAAATTGGCTAGAAAGTTTCAGGTAAAGTGGAAATGCGATTCTTTTAAACCTCCGTCTATCTTAGTACTTCCTATACTCTTGGCTGGGCAGATCAAAGGACAAACGCAAATGTAGATAAAAAAAAAAAACACTTAGGGGGTTCAAAGAGAACTCATCAAAAACACTTGAGGCAGCAAGGACTGTGAGCAACTATCTTCCAAGTGGAGTCAATACACTGGAAAAATGCACCAGATCTCATTTGTATGAAAACATACCAGTAAGAGTTTATCCTCAGAGTCTCGAGTGTACCCTACGAGTCTCCAGTTCAGAAAGTAGGGTCTTTGATTTACAATTATTACTGAAAACCTAATCATTGATTAGTTTAAGTCTTCAAAATATATGCTGCGTAAAATGTATTTTGTGATACATGTATGTACATATGTGCATGAGAGGCTGGTGGGAGAGACGTGGTGGGGGAGTGGAGGGGGGAAGGGGAGGGAGAGAGGGAGGGAGGGAGGGAGAGAGAGAGGGAGAGAGAGAGAAACATTTTGAAAAGAGAAAGAAAGAAAACTGCAAATAATCCCATTGCACTTAATGAGGCCCCACTGGACTAGCCCTGACTCCAAATTAAAATCTCAAAGGCAGAGGCTGAAAGGTCACATTTCCAGAATCGAGTCCATCCCAACAGGTCTGAAAACACCCAACATTTAATTCCGCTAAATCTCAAATAAGTCTTCAGGGGATAGAAATCCCTTTGTTTGGAGAGAAAAGTGGAAATAGCTAGTTCAGCAACCCACTGCTTGGTTAGCAACAATTACTACCGAGAATTAGAGCTGAGGTGATAGACAGCTAAGGGAGCTCTAAGGGATGTTAGACAGGGATTCTGGAATCTAGAGAAAGCAGGGAGAATATTTGCCACAAGAGGGAGCAGTAGAATTTGGTCAGATGGGAGACTGGTAGAGGTTATGATGAGGGGTCTAACTATGAAGTATGGGAGGTTACGATGAAGGGTCTAACTATTAAGTATGAACGATATTGGAAAATGTTTTAGCAAGAGGCATTTATCCCCTAGAGGCAAAAAAAAAAGAAAGAAAAAGGATGAAAGGACCAGAAAGAAGAGAGATAATAGCATGTTGATTCCTAAATTCTTAGCAAAGGTGGCAATTTAATTTTATTTGAAAACAATGAATGCACACACTGTAAAAATATGAAATATGCAATATATGTGTTCTAACATCCTCTTTTAACTGTGAAATTTTTTCTCCAGATTTAATTTCTACTTCAGTTTGGGTCTTGTTTATTTCCATGCTGTTAGGGCAAACTGCTTCTTACCTACATACTATTCTCCCTCAACCTGAAGGCATCATAGAGAAAGGGCTCATCTCACTGAAGTGCGACAAGAAAATCAGATGTTAAAGTCCAAAAATGCACTTACACTGAGACAACTACATTCATGGCCTGAATGAATGTTTGAACTCGCTTTTTACTGGGGGAATGCAGCTGCATTTAATGGGAATACAACTTCATTGGATCTTATTTATTTTGTGAAAGAAATAGGTTAAGTACTAAGAGGGAAGGAACCATCCATTTATTCTGCAAGACAAAAGACTATCTTGGTCTGGTTAAAAAAAACGTTAAATATAGCTTGTTAACAAATCCTAAAGCTCTCTTGGAATATATTTTGTTTTTACAAAACATAGTAAGCTTGAAAGAGCAATTCACATAATTCCTGCAAATAGTCTCGTAGGTGTTACTGACTATATTATATACCTAACCTTCCTTTTGTAATGTTATTTGGAGTTAAAGCATGGTTACTGCTATGCTCTTTTCTTCCCCTTCATGGTCAACAACAGGGTTATCTAGTTCAAAATCTTAATCCAAAATGATACAGTAAAAACCAGTAAATAGTAATGTCAAAGTAAATAGATAGATAGGCAGATAGACAGCAGACAGGTAAATATAAAGCACAGCCTTCATATTCTTTTTAGTCCTCTCTTCTTCCAGCCCTGTTAAGCTTACAAGAGAGAGTAGACTAAGTCTGATCGTCATGGACATTCTGACACCCTTTGCAACCCCTGTGCAGCTCAACAGTGAATAATGGTTTACCCCTGTTCAGTCCTTCTTTGCTGTGATTTTTCTAGGAATTGATCATTCCATTTTTAATAGAAGACAACAGCCATTTTATGGGGAAAATCAGGGATTTTTTTTGCAAGTGGTAGAAATCATAACTAAAGAACCCTTAGATCTAAATGGAATCTTTCAGGCAGGCAGAATTTGTAAAATGAAAACCATTTAAGAAAATAAATCTTGCTTCTTGATGAAGTAAGTTGGTACTCTCCCACCGTCTCCCTCACAAGGCCCCGAAGATGGAGTTAGCTTCCTCCCTCCTGTTTTCACACCCGCCTAACCTCCCAATTAAGCAAGTTTAGCAAACCCTGAGAACTAAAACCAAGTAACACAGGATTTGAAAGAGGAACCTAAAACCAATCATCCGTCTTCTGGCTTTTTCTTCTTATCTGAAATGAATGAAACATCTAGATTCATGTTCTTCCCTTCTTTCCTGACTTATTGCAGGAGTAGCCTTGACCCGGACAGGGAAAGCATGTGAGTGTACGTATGTAAGCTGGGGGGCCTGAGGAGGGGCAGGTATACTTTCACAGTTCCCTCCTGGTCACTCCCCATTTCCCTTAGGAATCTTCACACAAGTCCTGCATTGTGAATTCTCAGCTGCTCCTATCTGGAGATACTACAGCAATGCCTTTAACCAGACCTGATCAGAAATCTCCACCTACACAGCTAGCTCCTCCATTATCAGGACGCCTGCACTGTCTTCACCACATCTGTCATTTTTTAGAAAGCTTCTTCCACTACACCTCTCACTGATATCCTTTATTCTCTTTTTAATCTTTACACCTCCAGCAGGACAAAGTTTGTATTGTCATATTCACAACCACTAGTGGCTAACTAGCAGGAGAGAGGGTAAAAAGCGCCTTCCAGGGAGGCAGGCTAAGGGGGGTTAAACCGATATCTAGTGCAAAGCATGACTTTCTTTCCAGTGACTGCAGACATGCACATTGCTCTCTTCAAAAAATTCTTTGTTAAACTGGATCACCCCTGCTCTCAACCCAACCACTGCCACTTTGGGGAGGGAAATACGAATTGCCAGCCCAAGCCATTCATCAAACACCAAGAGAATCCAAGGGGGGAGAGGGATTTAAAGAATCAAGGATGCACATACACTGTATTTTTAAAAGCAATGCCGGGCCGGATTTGGTTTCTCTAGCCTACTGTCCGACTATAAGACCTCCCTCTTCTTCATTAAGGAGGAGCCAAAAAGGATATCCTCACATTACAGAACACAGACCTTTTCCCCAAGAGCCAGCAAAGCTCCAGGGGCAGATAATGCAGCTGCAAAGTTCCCTTCGCATCTCTTGGGGAAAGATGCCCGAATGTGCAGAATCCCCCAACGCACACCACAGCACAGTGCCCAGAGACGCGGACCCTACATCCCACTCCCCCTACTGTCTTCCTCGTCTGCCCCTCTGCCCCGGCCACACCTCCCTCCTCTCCGCAGTCGGTGGTGAAGGAGCACCCAGCGCCCGCCGGAAGACAGGAAGACCCCAGGGATTACCGGGAGGACAGATGACCGGGGAAAGGAGTCCCGTGGGTGGGGACGCCTGGGTCCCCAGCAGCGCTGCATCCGGGTGGTCTTAGCTCTTCGCGCCCTGAATCCTCCGAGCGCGGCGCGGTGCAGGGCGCAGCATCTCCCCTCCGGAGCCCTTCCTTCCTCCGGCAGCCTGCGCCGGCGGCCGGGCACCCTCACGCCCAGACGCACCGGCCCGGGCGATTTCACTGTCCCCGGAGCGCGGACACCCAGAAAATGTGCAGGCGCGCGCCTCCCCCCGGCCCCCCACAATTTAGAAGCGGGTCTCGTGCCAAAGCGGAGGGAAGTGCAGCCTTCTGGAGAGCAAATGGAAAACAGTTGGCGGCGTCTGACCCAGTCCCCTCTGCTTGCCCATCGTAGATCCTACCTGGTTTGGGGAGTGTGAATGGATCTTCCCCCGTTCCTCCACGCTGGGAGGAAATACAGCGCACGCCCTCCTTTTAAATAGCTCCCGACCAGGGAGAGGTCGCTCCCATCTTCTGGGGGAAGCACAAAGCAGGCGGCGGCGGCGGCTACGGCGGCGGGCGGACTCGCAGGCCGACTCCCGTGCAGCGGCGGCGCGAGCAGGAG